GAAGAGGGAGGAGGAAGAGGGGTGAAGGGGGGGACGAGGCAGGGAAGAGGGGGGGCAAGGAGGGGAAGCAGGGGTTGTGAAAGAGAAGGGTAAAGTGACAGAGGGGTTGAGCCAGACAACAAACACCACGAAAGGAAGGATAGATTAGCAAAATGGAACGGACGATGCTCGTCCCCACTGGCTAAACGATCCTCGATGGGAAATTGAAGCAAAGCAAACTGAGGTGTAATCTATAACATCGCTGTAAGCTGTAATGATGTGTAATCTACTAATCTGCACCATCGCCGTCTAGGGCTTTTTTCTTTTTTTTTTTTCTTGTGGCTCACGTGGATTTGGGGACCAATCACTCAGACGAGCGTCCCCGGCTAGGTTCTTCATCACCGTCGTTAGGGACTAGATTCGGAAATAGATGAATACTGATCGCTCCATTTAGTCCATTGAGTCCACTGAGTCGATAAATGGAACCCGGGCCCCATGGAACCCAGGCCCAATGGGACCCAGAACCTATCATCATTTTTTATTTTTATTTTTTTGTCATGGTACTTGTAGTATTTAATTCCCAATTACCATCACCTAACACAATTACGATCGCCACAAAAAAAAAAAAAAACACGCGCATGCAAACAGGCTATGTATCTTTTTAACGCAGAACGGGAGAATTAAACTCCCGTTGAATCCCGTTAAATTCAAAAAAATCCCGTTGAATTCGTGTTAAACGCGAAAATGGGCCGCTCCCGCGCTTTTCGGAAAAACGGAATTGATGCGCGGGGTCCGGAACACGTCACCCTAGGCAAAAATAAATAAATAAATAAATAAATAAATAAATAAATAATAATAATAATAATAAATCCCCCCAACCCCTGAAGCACCTCCCATCCGCCCCCACATCCCCCAACCCCCAACGCCCCAGTTATGTGTGTGTCGGTGTGCTGTGTGTGCGTGTATCTGTGTATGTGTGTGCCTGCCGTGAGCATGTGTCTGTGCATGAATATGAATGCATGTGCGTGTGTTTGTGTATGTGTGTGTTTGTAAGTGTGTGTGTGTGTGTGTCTGTGCTTGTAAGTGTATGTGTGTGTTTGTAAGTGTGTGCGTCTATGTGTATGTGTGTGTTTGTGTATGTGTGTGTTTGNGTGTCTGTGCTTGTACGTGTATGTGTGTGTTTGTAAGTGTGTGCGTCTATGTGTATGTGTGTGTTTGTGTATGTGTGTGTTTGTAAGTGTGTGTGGGTGTAAGTGTAAGTGTGTCTGTGCCTGCGTGTGAGAGTGTGTCTCGCCTTACTCACAACCTCGTTCCCCAACACACAGATTCCACTTGCACCCAAGGACCACCCTTGCGCCACACCCAGCTTACAGCAGCGCAGCTCGGCTATGGCTGCCTGCTCCTTCCTGATCGCCCGTGAGCGCGTGAGTGCCAGCGAGCTACAGCGCGGCAGCGCTTACGCAGCATGCAGCCAGCACCCGAATGCCCAATGTGGAGGCAGGCCCTTTGCTATATTGAAGTGGCCTGCCTGTGTTCAGTCCCAGGAAGCTTCCAGTAGGCCCCGGTAGCCTGAGGCACAGCACGAACGAGAACAGGCCTTGGGCCTGAGGTGGTTGCATGCCCCCAACTGCCTTTGGCCTGTGTTTGGCCCAGTACCCTTATCCAGCCCAGGGCCTGCTTTCCATACATTCACACAGGCGGCCCAGGGCCTGGGTTCCCTCAACCAACTGACGCTAGACTCATGCAACCTGCTACAGGCCCAATTTTTTGTGTGTGTGTGTGTGTCTTTTTTTCCTTTTTTTAATTTGCTTTTTATGGTTTTGATTTTTTTTTTAAATACACGAAGTTCCAAAAAAATAAGATAAAAAATAAATTGCTGTACATCTTTGAAAGATCTACAACCCTATATTTTTTATTTGCTTTTTTTGTTTTTGTTTTAGCCCTTAAAAAATCTGTGTGAAACCCAAAACAAAAACACTCATTTCATTTTAGTTTTTGTTTTTTCATTGTGTGTTTATGTTTTTTATTCTTTTTAAATAGATTTAAGCATCAAAAAATAAAAATAAAAATACAGGGTTGTAGTCCTCAAAAAAACCTACAACCCCATATATATCGTCAAATAGAACTGCCCGGTAAACCGTAGGCAGAGAGTGAGATGGAGAAGAGGACAACAAACGAGGGGCTGTGACAAACTGTTTCGTTGGAGTTTCACCGACTCATCAGGAGGTATATATTTTTGGATAATTTTTAGCCCAGGAAAAAAATAATCCCGGACCCCATTAATTTGCGTCCAACTCGCGTTTGAACGGGAGTTTAACGCAAATTCAACGCGCGTTGAATTTTTCAACGCAGAACCCGCGTTGAATTCAAAATCGGACACACAGCAAGCAGGATTACAAACTAAGAAAGAAAAAAGCGGAAGTACACATTTCAAGATTAATCATTAATAACAAAAAAGAAAATGGCAGTCGCTTTCGATTGGATAGAGCACCCACACGCGTACAACAAATTTCAACTTTCCTATTTTGCCGTGACAAAAAAGTTCCAAAGAGGCATGTTATTGCTTCCAGCATTGAAGTGAAGGTGCTGTATCAGCGGGGAAACAGAGAGGAGAGGAGGGAAAAGAGAGAGAGAGGGAGAGGCAGAAACAGGGAAAACGGTGGACCGCTGGCATCAGTGATGCACTTACCTCGCCGAAGCCTCTCTGAGTACTCTCGCCCTCGCTGGAAGTAATCGGCACTGTAACTCGCCGGAATACTCGCGCTGGACCTGGATCAACCCAAAAAACTGACCTGGATCAGCCCAAAAAACTGACGCGGAATACTCGGCAATGCCTTCAACACCAAGCCCCACTTTCCTAATTATTACTGTGATGCTTTCTTCCATCTAGTTACACCTAAGCTTGTACACAAGGGAGACAGCAAGGAGGGAGGGAGCAAGTGAGTGAGCAATCGTGTGAGAGAGACAGAGAGACAAACAGACAAGCATCAAGCACAAAGGAGGGGAGGGAGGGAGGAAAGAGAGAGAGAGAGAGAGAGAGAGAGAGAGAGAGAGAGAGAGAGAGAGAGAGAGAGAGAGAGAGAGAGAGAGAGAGAGAGAGAGAGAATGCCCCATCTAGTTACACCTAAACGTGTACACAAGGGAGACATCTGGGAGGGAGCAAGTGAGTGAGCAATTGTGTGAGAGAGACAGATAGACAGAGAGACAAAGAGACAAACAGACAAGCAT